ACTAAAAGTATATAAAAAGAGAAAAAACCCAGTACCTTCTGCTCGATTACATATACAGGCAAAATAACAACAAAAATTGCCAAACACATAAAAAAGAAAGGAATAACACCAGCTTTCCGAACAAATAACAACCTAGGCAAATATATTAAAAATAACAAGAGCCAAAATAAAAAACACTTAAATAGTGGTGTATACAAACTCCAATGTGGCGACTGCCCAAAAACTTACATCGGTCAAACTGGTAGAAACTTTGATAAACGAATAGCAGAACATAAAAGGGCTTTCAAGAATAGAAAAACAGATTCGACATACGCACTTCACCTTCTAGATCATAATCATTCTTTTAATGACAAATTTAAAATTCTTCACATTCAAAATAAAGGCCTTAAGCTATCTTTGTTAGAATCTATGGAAATCAACAAATTAAAAAACACAGATATAATTCTGAATGACCAACTTGAGACAAACAGTTCTCCCCTCCTCAACCTATTTCATTAGAGACTATAAATTTGTAAACCCAAGCCAAAATAGATCACTTGAGAAAGGCAATCAGCCGAAACAGCTGTAGTGATAATATTTAAAATAAATTTTGTGGAAGTTTGAAAACAAAGTTTTCAGTGTTTTATTGTTACATAAAATGAATTTCCATCAAGTAACGGTCGAATCCATCAATTCTCTTGTTGTTTTCATACAAAAGTTGAATTCTTTTCTTGATTCTGCGAATTTAATTATTGGAGTTTTTAACAGTTCAGCTGATAACTCCAAGTCGTATTTAATCAGCGTAAAATGTTTAGGAAAAACCAACTATGCAACAATTGCTCGATTTGTTAATGAATCTTGGACAAATTTCGTTTTACCTTCTAAAGAAATTTTGCTACTAGTTAGCGATGCCGCTTCCTACATGGTTAAAGCTGTTACTAGTCTTAAGATTTTTTTTCCGAATTTGATTCATTGTACATGCTTAGCGCATGATTTAAACAGGGTGGCAGAGAAAGTTAGACTCTAGTTTCCAAATGTAAACACTTTAATCAACAATGTAAAGAAAGTATTTTTAAAAGCACCATTGCAAGTGTTGACTAGATATGGGACGTGGTTGAATAGTGCCATCTATCTATCTAATTAGCCTTCTTCGGTCCATCTTTGGACATAGGCCTCCCCAATCCTTTTCCATTCTTCTCTGTCTGTCGCAACAGTCATCCATCTAGAGCTCACGTGCTTCTTGATATCATCTGCCCATCTCATTTGGGGCCTTCCTCTGCTTCGTTTATATTCCCACGGTCTCCAACTTATAAGAATTTTGTTCCAGCGGTCTTCTTTTTGTCTTATATTGTGTCCGGCAAATCTCCATTTCAATTTTGCAACTTCTTGTCTAACATCCCTCACTTTTGTTTTCTCTCTTATCCACTCGTTTCTCTTCTTATCCATTAGTCTTATGTGCAATATTTGTCTTTCCATTGCTCTTTGGGTTTTTATGATTTTGTCCATGTTTGCTTTTGTAAATGTCCACGTTTGGGAGCCATACGTAAGAACAGGGAGTACGCATTGATTATATACTTTGGTCTTAAGATGCTGTGGATATCTTTTGTTTTTAAGAATGTAGCTTAGTTTGCCAAATGCCGCCCATGTCAGTCTAACTCGTCTCTTGATCTCTGCTGTTTGGTTCTCTTTGTTAAGTTTTATAGTTTGACCAAGATATATATAATCCTTAACTTGTTCTATTTCATCTTGTCCGATTCTCATTGTGATGTCTTCATCTGTATTTGTTATAGTTTTGGTCTTGCTGTAATTCATATTAAGGCCTATCTTTTCAGCTTCTACGTCCAGTTCTTTCATCATTTCAAATAATTCATCTTTTTTATCGGTTATCAATACGATGTCATCAGCGTACCTTAGATGGTTCAAGCCTTGTCCACAAATTTTTATACCTTTTTTTCCCATTCTAATCTTTTAAAAGTATCTTCAAGTGCCTGATTGAAAAGTTTCGGTGATATTGTATCACCCTGTCTCACGCCTCTACTTATTTGTAATGATTTTGTTCCTTCATATACTTTAATTTTTGTTTTGGCTTCCTTATATATATTGGTTATTAGTTCCGTATATCTGTGGTCAATTCGGCTGTTAATCAAAGAACTTTTCTTTTTCGAAATCTATGAACGCCATATATAGAGGAATGTGGTATTCATTTGCTCGTTCTATAAGTATTTTCATACTTAGTAAATGGTCACTTGTGCTGAATCCCTTTCTAAAACCAGCTTGTTCTTTCGACTGGTATCCATCGAATTTTGTCGTCAATCGATTGGTTAAAATTTTTGTTAGGAGAATAGTGCCATATTTCTTGCAAATAAATTATATTGATATCAGAATGAACTGTCCTATATAAAAGCAGATTTTGACATAATTGTAAACTCTATTACAAAACTAGAGAGTTAAAAATTATCTCAAAAAAAAATTAAAGATCAATTTAGTGAAGTTTTCAACCGGACTGAAGGCTTTTCTTTATTGTGATCAATTAATAACATATTCAATGGAAGCTTTAACAAAGTTATTAATATGGATCCCTCGTTAGTGTCAAATTTTAGATTTGCGCCAATTACATTTTGTGATGTTGAAAAATCATTTTCCTCATATAAACACATATTAACTGATAGAAGGCATAACATTACTCTTGAAAATATTGAACATTTTATGATTATATACTGTAACAGCAAGAACGAGAACATTTTCTTGTGAATTTTCATTTATATTTTTTTATTAAATGTAGTAATAAATAAACACTCTCTAAGTTATACTATAATTTTATTTCTCACCAAATATCAAGCCCTAAAAATTAAAAAATATTGTTTTTAGTGCATGCATAAATGCATATTACATTATAATAAAGGCATATTTGGTTAATTTTTAAGTTCATGTTGCCTGCATATTTTAACCATTTTTTTAGAGCATATAATTCAGTCTCTAGTGATGAGTTTACCAATCTCTCGGGGTCTATTTGAAAATCCTTACTTTTATGGCGGTGATGAGTTTGTACTATATACGAGGGTATTTATGGTAATTGGTGATGAGTTTACGTGTACCCCATATTTCTTAGGTCCTAAAATGTTATTTAAAGTGAATCTCCCATACTCAGAACTAATTTATTAAGAAAATGGGGGTTTTAAGTACACACACTTGACATATTCGCAGCAATAAAATTAATAATCACTAGACAGAGACTGAAAATACAGTCACGTCAAAAGTTTTAAATTAAACTTAAGAAATTTTAAAAAATCAACATGCTGCAAGCATATTAACAAGCGTTGGTGTTGCATTTTTCAAAGTTCAGCAGAGATTCCTTTTGGTCCATAGGCTCCTTTATCTTTTATGGTTTTTATGTTTCGATATCAACCTCCCAGTTAGGTTGTCTCCCATATTAATTTCTAGTCTACGTATTTGGTATATTATGGCTGTTTGTTGGAGATATTCAGGTCTGGATGCTTACAGTTCTTTTCCTTAGTTACTTTTAAACACAATGATATTGATGGTTTGTAGGTTTGTTATAATTATGTTCTCCCTCCTTAGATTTCGTATGAATTCCCATACCTCTGTTCCAGGTAGACTTAATACTTTCTCGCATTTTCGTTCCCATTTTTTATTTTTATCTCTTATAAACCTTATTTTAGAAAGTCTTTGTTGATTGCGGAATTGGTTTTTATCGTCTACTTTATGTCTTTCTTTTGTTCGAGTTTATCACATCGTAACATGCTCTTATTTATTTGTAGGTCGGTTCAGTCTTCTTTTCCCAAGACTTCAAATTTAAGCTCTAGATTTTATAAGTAATGATCCGATCCACATTATATACCTTTGTATACTCGGGTGTCTTTATTTTCAATTCAGATATCTACCCAACTATAATATAGTTAATAACTGATTTTAATTGGCTTGTGTCCTAATGTCAATTATAATTATGTATATTTTTGTGGAGATGTTTGTTTTTTTTTATTTTTAGTTATTGTTTAATGAACAAATACTCCCTTTCACAATAAAAAGCAATATTTGCTTAAATTTCTTAGTTATTAAATATTTTTATAAGTAAATTATTCGATACAGGATGGATACTTTTATGACTTTATTATTTTCAAGGCAAAATAAAACAGGCAGAAAGATTTTAGAATAGATTAAGTTTTTTAAAAAAACCGTTTCTTATCAATTTTTTAAATTATTCGACTTTGTGGTTCATGTCAATATTTTACTTGCCTAAATATTACTAAACCCAATTACCACCTGGAGATTTGTTAGTTCTAATCCCTATAAAGTTTGTAATACGATAATGGTCTAGCAAGAGCCTGTTCAATGTATACATAAGGCAGCTAAGGAAAATATCGAATTTCAAATAAAACAGATTGAGAGTAGAGTGTGTACATGATTGGTATTCGTTAAAGACTAAAACGATTCAAGTTCTCTGTATTAGAAACTAAAATAAACTTTAGCAAAACACACACACACACATATATATATATATATATATATATATATATATATATATATATATATATATATATATATATATATATATGTGTATATATATATATATATATATATATATATATATATATGTATATATATGTATATATATATATATATATATATATTTATATATATATATATATATATATATATATATATATATATATATATATTTATATATATATATATCCTTTTTCTGATATATATATATATATATATATATATATATATATATATCAGAAAAAGGAGTACGATCGTCAATTAAATATATTATAAGGATCACTCAGAAGAGTGGTGGGTTCTTATATTGGTCTCAAGGTGGAGAAATAAAAGACAAAGTTGATCGGCTACTTTATATATATATATATATATATATATATATATATATATATATATATATATATATATATATATACCTATATATATATATATATATATATATATACATATATATTATGTATATATATATATATATATATATATATATATATATATATCTAAAGAAAGCGGATCTTGGTCTTTTTAGCAACATGTTTCTTATGTACATTGACTTTGGTCACCTTGGCAGTTTTCGACTTATCAGAATCCTTTATTATTGGAGTTGGCTTGCTCTTTATATTTACTTTACTTTCAGGAACATTTACTTCTTCGAGCTTTTCAGACACAGGCTGATTCTGATCCCGTTCTAGTTCCGGCTGGACAGATTCCTCATGCATCCTTTTCAGCTCTTCTTTCAGTGAATAGACAGGTTCCTATATCCTTTATCTTCTCTAGGAGTGCGGCAACAATATCTTCTTTCTGAGACTCTACCACAGGCTCTTCTTCTTCCTCTAGTTTTTCATCTAAGTTCATATCTTCTGTTGAGATCCCATTGGGTTTCTCAAGTAGGACAAGAGAGGGCATTGACAGGTCAGAATCAGCAGCATTATTGGTTATTTATCATTCGTCTGTGTTTTGACATTGGCATTGTCTGACATTGACATTGGATTATCTGTGGTAAATGAGTCTAAAAAGAATCAATCTGTTTGAAAAGAGTTGTTGCTGCAGTAGATAGGGTAACATCATTTAACTTAGAAATTAAATTATTGTCATCGTTCCCATCGGCAGATTTAATGTTTGGTTCGGACACTTTTGGTGTTTCTGTATCTTCGCTAATCTTTTTGATCAACTTTGTGTAAAAAATAAAGTCGCTAGCAATACGAGAAGATGGCTTATGGTATTGTTTTACGATATCTTGAATATAGCCGTTATTAATTCTTTATGCATTTATACGTACCATGCTGCAGCGTTAGATAAAAAGTGAGGAGGGTTGATTTTTTAAAAGAGTTAGGTTGACAGCTCATAAACCCCAAATTTTAAACCGTTCTACAATGCAGGCTCTTGCAAGAGATATTTGTAGACGTGCAAAATTATTTATAAATGCTCCAGAACCTTAACTCCAGGACGCACCTATGGCATCGTCGCATGGGAGATATCATGAATGTGAACAAAGACGCAATCGAACAACCTGGAGATGGCGTATAAAGTGCTGCAAGTGGGCAAGCGTTGATCATTTAAAAAACATTTTTAATCAATGCCTAGATAATATTTCTTATGTTCGTTTTCCGCCGATTTTTAATAGAAATAGTGTACTGTTTTTAACTATATGAATATAAATTGGTTTATGTAATGAGTATGTGCTTATTTTTTATCTGTTAGAATATTTCTATTTTCAAAGATACTACAATTTAAAAATGAGTGACACCTGTCTCCAACGCCCCCAACCACGTTATACTTAAACACGCTCCTAATTCAGGGTTAATCTAATATATTTAAACTATATTTAGTCTACGTTTTGAACTATCTTATATGTAGAAAAATGTTGGAAAAATAAATACTTCTTTTAGATTTAAATAATAAACGTTTTTGTTTCCGTCGTTTCGGTTCTAAAAGACGAAAAGTCTTTTATGTTTTATCCTTCTTTATCTAATGATTGTATATAACAATCAGAAGAAACACGAAAATCTCTTCGACATAATTCCCTACCTGTGTTCATATAAATTTAATATTTAGTTATTTACCGAGTAACAAAGTGGTAATGAAATTTACCAAAGATAAATTTAAAGAAATGTCAACGTAACTTGTCCTTTCCAACAGGACGAACAATGGTTGACGCGAGATACACAACACCAGGGGCTTGATCAGGACCGGTGTTGTTTAAACTAGCTGTATTCTATAATTCAATCTGTAGCTATAAGTTGTATTTTTTTTAAATAGGTTGTCCTAATTCTGTATATCCTTTTTTTGTTCTTATTTTCGTTATAATGTCGTCCACGTTTATCATCATTCTGGCTTTACAAACTTGTGTGGGTCCTAGTTTCCTCAAGAATTTATCTCCAGTCGTCTCTATCCATCGCTTGACTCCGTCAAACAAGTATTCTTATATTTCTCTTCGTTCATGTTTAAATTGACCAAAAAAGTTTAGTCCCATTCTCTTTTTTACTAAAAAAATTTACTAGTAAAAACTTCTTTTGTAAAATGGCATACAATTTAATAAATTTTTTTAAAAATTATCCAAACTACTATTTCAGAGAGTTTTACGGATCATCATCAGTAAAAAACGTTTATAAAGTAATTGGAACATAATGAGGTCAGGTGTCCCTTAAATTACATAATTAAAGTAATTATCAAGACACTTGTCAATGATAAGGGATTACGTTTTTTAAGGGAACGCAGAAATTCCTGGTTCGATCCACTGAGTGCTAACAACCAACTACAGACAACATATTATGCGTGTCTGTTATAGAAACACATTCGTTGCAGCAAGCTGAACTTTGCAAACTAAGCATAATAATGTCAACAATGACTACCAATTTTAAATTCTTCACATTTAAAATAAAGGCAGCTATCATTAGATTAGATTAGAATCCATAAAAATTCATAAATTAAAAAAATACAGAAATACCAACTTGAGACAAACAGTTCTCCCCTTTCCAACTTTCTTTCTTTCTTTTTCAGCTTCCTTTTACCCTATCAGTGTGTCGGATTTTGGCTAGCTATTTTAATTTCCATTTACCCAACTCTTCCATTCTTTTCTGTTTCCTGCGAGTATTTTCAATTCCTCGAGTGATTTTTGTTTAAGTTTTCCTGCCTCTACTACTTGCTGTATCCAGTTTTTTCTTTTTCCTTCTATCCTTTTTAGATGTCTCATCTCCATTGCGTTTATCGTGCTCTTATGTTTTTCCAAAATTGTTCAGTTTTCACTTGCATAGAGCACAGTCGGTATCACTATTGTGTTATATATTTTTATTCTTGTCTCTCGTGTAAGTTCTCTTTTTCCCATTATTGGGGCTAACGCATAGTATAACTTGTTTGATTTCTTTGCTCTATTTGTTATTTCCCAGTCTATTTTTCTGTCATTAGTTATTATACTTCCAGGTATTCGTAAGTTGTTACTATTTCCAATTCTGAATATTTACATTTTATCTTTATTTGATTATATTCCTGATCTCCTTTACCACTGATTATCATTATCTTACTTTTTTCCTCGTTTATCTCCATTTTTAGTTCTTCTATTTGTTCTACACATATATCCATTAGTTTCTGCATTTTATTCTCGGAATCTGCTTTTAGTACTATGTCGTCTGCATATATTAAGGACTCTATTGTTACCGGTTGTAATCTGTGGTAACCTATAATTGTCTGTAGTTGATTAGTTCTGACTCTAGTATTTCTTATCAATTCGTTCATTACTATTATGAATAGCAAAGAGCTGAGACTATCTCCTTGTTTAACACCTCTCTTCCAATTAAATGCTTCCGATAGTTCCCCTCTTATTTGTACCCTTCCTTTTACCTCTTTGTAAGTACTTTCTATAATTTTTATCAATACATTAGGTACATTTATTTTTCTCAAGTATTTCACTATAATATGTCTTTCTATCGTGTCAAATGCTGCTCTTGGGTCTATGAATGCTAATACTAGTTTTCCCCCGTATCTATGCTTCTTTCTATTAGGTTTCTGATGATATATATGTTGTCATTTATCTGTCTTTCCGGTCTAAATGCCGTTTGTTTTTCTCCCAATACCATTTCTACTTCTTGTCTCAGTCTGTTCTCTATTATTTTCGTATATATTTTAAAGCATACCGATGACAGACATATTGCTCTATAGTTGTCGCAGTTTACATGTTCTCCTTTTTTGTATATTGGCACGATGATATTATTCTGCCAGTCTTTAGCAATTGTTTGTTTTTCCCATGCCTCTTTATATATTTTCCATAGCCAGTTTATTCCTTCTTCTCCCATGTATTTTACCATTTTCGGTTCAATTTCATCATCTCCACCTGCCTTGCCTATTTTTATATTTGATAATCCTTCTATTACCTCTTCTCTACTTATCTGCTCTAGCTCTGTGTTTTCTTCCCCTTCATTGTTTATATTGTCTTCATTTATCCCTTCAGAATCAATTTTTTTTTCATAATATTCTTTCCATACCCTAGCTACTTGTTCTGGGCTTATTTGTATTTGGGTTGAAGTATCCTTTACTGCGTTTATTTCCTTTAGTCCTTCTTGCCTTATTTGTCGTATTGTCGTCCAAAAGTTTCTATTATTTGTTATATATTTTTCCTCAAGTTCTTCTCCAAATTCTTTCCATGTTTTTGCTTTTGCTTGTGTGACTGTCTTTTTTACCAATCGTCTCTGCCTATAGTATTTTTCTTTATCTTCTTCTAATCCCGTTTCGATGTATTTTTTCCATGCTATTTTCTTCTAGTTTTTTATTTCTGTCTTCACTTCTTTATTCCACCATCTTGTCCTTTTCAATTGTTTATTATATTTTTTGATTCCACACACTTCAGTTGCTGTTGTCTTTAATACTTCACTGTTAGTATTCCATTTTTCTTCCATTGTCCATGTTTCTTTTTGGCACTCTATTTGTCTCAGTCTTTTGTTAGTTTCCTCCGTGTACAATTCTCGCACAATTTGTATCTTTAGTTTGTTTATATTTACTGTCTTATAGTCTTTTCTTTCCACTTCCTCCATTTTTTCATCCTCCAGTTTTGCAGTGACTATTCTGTGTTGTGTAGACAGTTCCGGTTCCTTTTTCGTTAAGATGTTTTTTATATTTCGTTCCAGGTTTCTCGTATAGACTATTTAGTCGATTAAGCTCTTCGCATTTCTCTCTTCAGCCACAAATGTATATTTGTCGTTAATGGTTTATTCACTGAATGTGTTTCCTATTATCAGGTCATTGGTTTGGCAGAATTCCAGCATTTTAATTCCATTTCTATTTAATGTGTCTTCCCCATATTGTCCAATTTCCCCCTTCCCCCTCTGCCTTTAAGTGTTAGATCTTCTTCTTTAAGTGCCACCTCTTCAGTTGTAGTAAGGTGTATTTCTCTCCACCTGTAATATGTCCGGGATATTCTATTTTTTTTGTTTTTATTGTATTTAAAATTTCCATTTCTTTATTTATCCTTCTTAGAACCTCTTTGTTTGTGACGTGTTCTCTCCACGATATTTTCAAAATTCTTCTACACACCCACAGCTCGAATGATTCCAGTTTTTTCATTGATGTCGCATTCAATGTCCAAGATTCCATTCCATAAAATAAAGTAGAAAAAACATAGCACCTCGCCAACCTAACTCTTAGTTCCAGTTTTAAATCTCTGGTACATAGACCTCTACTCATTTTATTGAAATTTGCTCTAGCCGTTTCTATTCTGATTTTGATGTCC